ACTAGGGTTAGGGGATAATTGTTCCGGTTCAATTTCATTGATGTGAATGTTGATTGTTCGATCTAGATGAGTTAGGCTAAACCTAGGGTTGAATGTTTGATCATCATTTAATCTACTTAATCGATTTTAAAACCGAAAGGGGAGAAATCGATCGACCTCGGCTTGTTTAGAATAGACTTGTTCGGAAGCGTATTGTCTATGTGTTAATGAATTCGATAATTGCTCGTTTATGTTTATTCTCTTGTTTCGTGAGATATTGAGAATGAATCTCTAGATGAATTGGTTATTGTTTGTTCATTAGCTGAGTAATTGATTGCCCGTTTAATGTATTGAGAACCGGATTCGATTGTCCCTGATACCCTAGTCCCTTTAAACTATTGGAATTTGTGTTTTAATTGAGAGTTTGGAATTGATTGTTTTGCTTTCATAATTATTCGCTTTATTGTTCGTAGTTGATAATCAAATTTCCAACTTGAATTAGAGTGTTTAGGAAATTCTTTTCTCGTTTCTTGTGATCGAATATCCGTACAAATAATCCGGCTAACCTTCCTTGTGAGACGACCTGGTGTCGAATCTTTGGGTTCTACTCCGGTAAAAAATATTTACAACAAATTGGCGCCGTTGCCGGGGATGGAACCCGTCGTTGAAATCGGACGCTGACCTGCCGTATCCGCCCGTGAGAGTGCCGCAGCCGCTGGAAAGCGGACACCTTCAAAACAATCGAAGAAAATTAGCAAAGATTAGCAGTGAATCTGGATCTGGAACATCAGACCTTTCTTTGCCGATGAATCGATTACATTATGTACCGACGAAAAGGGAAAAGACAATTGAAAATTTTGGAAGAAGCTCCGAGTCTGAAGGCAGATGGTGTTTTGTTGGCTAACCTCTCTTCCCAAGAGAGGAAACGATTTGTTTTGATGTGCAGGAGCTACTTTTGGGATGACCCAATCCTTTTCAAGATGGGAAATGACGAGATTCTTCGGAGGTGTGTGCCCGAAGAAGAGCAACATGATGTCTTGGCCTTTTGTCACGAGCTTCAATGTGGAGGACACTTTGGGGGTTGAAATACCGCTTTCAAAGTCCTCCAATCAGGTTTATTTTGGCCAACTCTTTTTAAAGATGCTTATAACTTTTGCAAATCTTGTGACCGCTGCCAAAGAATTGGGAATATTGGCCCAAAGAATGAGATGCCCCTTGTGAGCAATTTACAAGTTGAGATTTTTGATGTTTGGGGCATCGATTTCATGGGACCGTTTCCCAAATCTTTTGGCTTTGAGTATATCCTTCTTGTTGGGTTCGATATACCCGTACGGAACAAATAACGCAGCAGAATTTAAAAAT